AGCCTGCGGCTGAGGCTGCTGCTGAGGCTGCTGCTGAGGCTGCTGCTGAGGCCACTGAGGCTGAGGCTGCTGCTGAGGCCAAGTTACCACTGAGCATGGCCCCGTCCCCACACACTGCTGCCCCCTGCTGACTGTGGTGATGGGTTAAAAACAGAGGTTATGTTTGGTTGTGTTGTGTCACAATGACGAGTGATGATTTGAACCACGTGACCTCCTGTTGTCCTCCTGCTCCAGGCCCAGATGAAGGACCTTGTTCGTGAGCTGGACGACACTCGCATGTCCAGGGAAGAGATCCTGGCCCAGAGCAAGGAGACTGAGAAGAAGCTGAAGGCCATGGAGGCTGAGATGATCCAGATGCAGGAGGTAAACACTACCTACACTATATATGTTTATGTACTTCAGATCAACATATACCTGAACACACGTTGGACCTTGACGTTGTAACGACTGTTGTGTCAGAGTGACATTCAGACTGTGTCCTCCCTGCAGGAGCTGGCAGCAGCAGAGAGGGTGAAGAGACAGGCCCAGCAGGAGAGAGACGAGCTGCAGGATGAAATCAACAACCAGGCCAGCAAGAAGTGAGGCCGGGGTCACGGCCGGGGTCAAGGCCGGGGTCACAGCACAACCACTCAACCTGGGCCCGTCTTCAACCCTCTTCTGTTCTGTTTCCTGTTCCAGTGCTCAGGTCGCAGAGGAGAGGAGGCGTCTGGAGGCTCGTATCGCTCAGCTGGAGGAGGAGCTGGAGGAGGAGCAGTGCAACACGGAGCTCATTAATGACCGTCTGAAGAAGGCGATGCTGCAGGTGTGAGCCGCCGCCACCGCCGCCTCTGGGTTCTGACTGGGAACGTTCTGCTGTTTCTGTAGAAAACATGGGTTTTCACCTGTCTCTCTGCAGACTGACCAGATGAACGTGGAGCTGACCGCCGAACGCAGCACCTCTCAGAGAGTGGAAGGCGCTCGTGCTCAGATGGAGCGTCAGAACAAGGAGCTGAAACTGAAGCTGCAGGAGCTGGAGGGAACCGTCAAGTCCAAGTACAAAGCAAACATGGCCGCCCTGGAGGCCAAGATTGGTCAGCTGGAGGAGCAGCTGGACATGGAGACCAGGTGAGGAGCTGGACTTAGCTGCAGGAGAGACGACTGACCGCTGTCAGGTAGCTGCTGTTGACTCAACGCTCTTCACCTTCTCCAGGGAGAGGCAGACCGCCACCAAACTTGTGAGGCGTACGGAGAAGAAACTGAAGGAAGTCATCCTGCAGGTGGACGATGAGCGACGCAACACAGAGCAGTACAAGGACCAGGTGAGAGTCTGGAGCCCAGGTGGAGTTAGAAAGGCCAGCGGCCGTTCCTGACTCTTCTTTCATTCTTTGGACGTCCTCAGGTGGACAAGTTGAACTCCCGTATGAAGCAGTTGAAGCGACAGCTGGAGGAGGCTGAGGAAGAGGCTCAAAGAGCCAACGCCAACCGAAGGAAACTCCAGAGGGAGCTGGAGGACGCCACAGAGTCTTCAGACGCCATGGCCCGTGAGGTCACCTCCCTGAAGAACAAGCTCAGGTGAGTGATGATGTGTGGGGAAAAAAAAAAAAAACCAGATCAGTTCAGAGACAGAACCATGAAGTTGACTTCCTGCATTCTTCTGATCAAGGCGTGGAGATCTCCCCATCCTCACTCGCCGCACCGTTTCCCGCGCCGGCATTGAGAGTGACGAAGAGAGCGAGGCCAAGGCCGAGACTCCTGAACCCAAACCAGAATGAGCAGCCAACCAGAACCACCGTAGAATCATCATGAATCACCAGAATGACCCAGATACACATGAGAACACATTACTGCAGCTGCTGAACGGGGGGGGGGGGGGGGGCGCCACACAGCACGGCCCCCCCGCGCCCCCTCTTCTCCCGAGACGCCAGTAAACTCCGACAATCACATACGGACAATTTTAGCGCTAGTTTTGGGCCAAATTTGTCGTATGTTTCACTCTTCAGTCACTGGGGGAAAAGAAATGATATTTTTATAAGGAAACGTTCCAACATTCACATGGTCCTGATTTATCCTCTATTTTTCTAATCAAAGAAGAGAAAACAAAGAAGTTTTAATGAATGAAGACAGATTTCTGGACCAAAGTCAAATCTCCTACTAAAGAAATGTATTTTGTTGCAGACGTTTTTCTAACGGTTCAGTACCTGGAAGTGCTTCCTGTTTATTACTCGCTCGCTCTGGTTTATAATGAAGGTTTATATGCTGAAATGTATTCTCTCAGTTTAGCTGTTAGCAGTTAGCACTTACGACTACGCTTTTCTTTTACACACCTTTAATCTGGGGTGGGGGGGGGGTGATCTGAGGCAAATTCACAGTAACACTTGGTCTTAGCGGTGCATATTGAAGTCTGTGCTGAAATATATGAATTTTGCACTGACATAAGAAGAAACGTAAGCCTTGACACAGTAAGACCACTGTGTCTGTGTTGAACTGAAGGCTGTTGTGACAGAAGAAACTGTTCACGTGATTATGACACACACACACACACACACACGCGGCAGCAGCAGCAGCTTTTCTCTGGGCACGAGGGTTGGCTTATTTCTGGACATACATTAATTTTTATTTTATCAATATTGTTGTTATGTTCAGGGTAAAAGTTGACATGGTGTTGGTGGGGGGCGGGGTGGTGGGGGGGGCAGTGAAGTGCTCACACACTGTATTCTCAGGGCACAGTCTGTGGAGGACGGAGCAGCTGAGGTGGTGACAAACCAGAGGCAGGTTAACGTCCTGTTGCTCTGACCTTTGGTCGGCTGTAGGTCACACACACACACACACACACACACACACACAGGTGTAGGGATTCAAACCCCTCACAGGCTGTGCCCATGGGCGGCTTCTTTTGGCTCACACTGCTGGGAAGTGAGAGGAATTATTTCCTTAAAGAATAACAGTTCATGATTTAAACCAAACTGCACCTTTGACACCCATCAATCATCTCCTCAATGTTTCTGTGATGTTGGTCTGACGGCACCTCTGGAATAATGGAAATCATGTTGTAAGAGGTCGGTATTATTGCAATAAAGAGGCTTTCTAAACTGCTGCCTGAGAATCGACTGCTTTACTTCTTCTTTTTTTTTGAGAACCTTCGTACATCGTCATTTTTTTAGTGTTTATTCAGTGTTTTAAACGGATTCGTTTTCCTTCTAACAAGAAACGACTAATGTACAGATCCCGTCAATTACGGATAGTCACCAGCAGAGGGCGATCTCCATTTTCCACGGAGAACTAAAAAAGACCAGACAATCAGGTCCGAACCGGTTGAGAGTGAACGGTAGTAAACAGTCTTTCTTTCCTCCTCGTCTGGTCAAACTTTAGTTCAGTGTCCGGTAAGTGATCGAACATTTATAACTAACCCATCAGTCAAACAAGTTAAAGTTAAAAACCAGTTTGGAATTAGAAAAATAAATGTTTATCAGAGAAGTCGAATTCTCTGTTTGTCTCCAGGATAATGTGAATGTGAGTTGGAGGAGAAATCCATCAAAGTTAAACATCGGATAAATATTAAGAAATAATAAAATATACTCAGGTTCTGATTCAAAATGAAGTCACAGTTCAACAAATATTTGGATTATAGTTACCTACTTGGGTACATCATAGTTTTTATTTTGTTAAACAAGGTTTGAAGAGATTTTATATATATATATATATATATTTAGTTTCTATTTCAGTTAAACTGCCTTCAATTCATTTTATTTTATTCTTATAACGGGTTTCTATGACAAAACAAATGTCGTTACAAATGCTCAGCATTCATGTCGTGTTTCACACCGTAAATATCAGGTTTTCAACCACCTGAAGTCACAGAAAGTCGTCCCATCGTGCACATGCGCAGATCAGATCTCCCGTGACGGTGATTAAAAATTCTACACACCTTCCAGATCCCAGAGCCCCTCGACCAATCAGAGCAGGTGGACGCTTAGTGGGCGGATCCCTCGTTGGCCGCTACGTCACCAAACAGGAACCGGCTGGTTTTTTTAAGGTCAGCGGTGAAGAGAGTGATTTCAGTCCGTGTCGCCCTGACATTTGGAGTAGATGTCGGTTTTCTGTCCCAGAAAGTGACGATTTAAACGGCGTAGATAAAAAAGTTGACACGACTGGAATATTAAATATTAAAGTTCAAATTCAGTCCAGACCGAGGACCGAGATCTGACGGGGAAGTACCGTGAAAATCAGAGGTTTTTCTCAGGTTGGTTCTTCTGTGTTCTACATATTTATTGGCTAAATGTGTTTTTAATTTGCATTTAACGGCGGTAAAAAAATACATCTTTGGTCACAGACATTCTGATCGTTGCGAATACATTTAAAAAATACTAACAGAACAGCTAGTCATTTAACTCCTATAAAATAATACAACCTCGTCTCCAACAGTCACAACGGTTCAAGAGTACAAAGAATTGGTGGCAGTTTGAAACCTTATTTCATACTAATAGTAGTCACTGGGGGGGGGGTCACTCAGACCTGATGATGAGCAGCAGTGAGTGTCACGTGGTTGTTAACAGGAAGGCTCACGGCGGCGGTCAGACCATCAGGACGTCAGGTCTCCACTGTTGACGACTGGGACCAGAACTTTCTGTGTTTTTCTGAAGAGATTCCCAGTGTTGATGGAGCTGTCACTGGTAACAACTCCTGCCTTACATAACTAACTAACTAACTAACTAGTCATCACTGTCTGAAGGTGTTTCCCCCTCCTCCACCTCAGGCTCCCCCCGTCATCAAGGCCTTCATGTGTGGCTCGTTGAGTGGGACTTGTTCCACTCTGCTGTTCCAGCCTCTGGATCTGGTCAAGACTCGTCTGCAGACCCTGCAGAGCAGCGTTCAGCCTGGGTGGGTGTGGAGCTGATCAGTGTGGTAACATGGTTACATCATCACCTGTGGACTCTGACTGACCCATCACTGACCCATCACTGACCGATGTCTGCAGATGTTCCAGCAGAGTGGGGATGCTGACTGTGATCCTGAGTGTGGTGCGGACAGAGAGGCTGCTGGGACTGTGGAGGGGGGTGTCACCGGTCAGAGAACGCTCTGCTGAAACCAAATCCTCTATTTACACAGAAAGGTTTTAAATCTACTGACCCCCCCCCCCCCCTTATTCCTCCAGTCTTTCGCCCGGACCATCCCAGGCGTGGGGCTCTACTTCAGCACCTACTACTCCCTCAAGCAGCACTTCTTCCAGGACAACCAGCCTGGAGCCACAGCTGCGGTGCTGCTGGGGGGAGGGGCTCGAGCTGTGGCGGGAATATTCATGCTGCCGGTGACCGTCATCAAGACGCGGTTTGAAGTGAGGACAGACCGTGTGTGTGTGTGAGAGAGAGAAAAGATCTCCATCCACTGAAGTATCTCCTAACCCCGTATCAGTCTGTTCCTCCATCAGTGTCTCTCAGTGTCAGGGTCTGTTCTGTTTTTTCTGTCTGTTGTGTGTGTGTGTGTGTGTGTGTGTGTGTTCCAGTGTGGCAGGTACAGGTACAGGAGTGTGGCTGGAGCTCTGAGGAGTGTGTACCAGACTGAGGGTCCTGCCGCTCTCTTCTCTGGCCTCATGGTCACCCTCCTCAGGGACGTCCCCTTCTCTGGTGTCTACGTCATGTTCTACAGTCAGACCAAGGCCTCACTTCCAAAAGGTCAGAGAGTTCAGGGAATGAGAGAAAGAAGACGCTGACGTCTTAAAACTCTCTTCTTTTCTCTAACCTCCATCTCTGTCCCTCTGTCCAAACCATGAAGAAGTCAGCTCTTCTTCTGCCGCTCCTCTGGCAAACTTCAGCTGTGGGATCGTGGCAGGTGTGCTGGCGTCACTCATCACTCAGCCGGCAGATGTGGTCAAAACTCAGGTGCAGGTGAATCCACAGCTGAGGACCGCGGAGGCCATCACATACATCTACAGGGTAACTGTCGCGGTCTGATTGACGTGAATGTCCTGGTGGACACAGCTGTGATGTCACTGTGGACCTCCGTCTCTGTCCCCTCCCAGGAACACGGCCTGCAGGGCTTCTTCAGGGGGGCGGTCCCTCGGTCCCTCAGGAGGACCATGATGGCCTCCATGGCCTGGACCGTGTACGAGAAGATGATGATCCACATTGGACTGAAGTCCTGAAGAAGAGAAGGTCAAAGTCATGTGACCCCATGACAGTCCTACAGTCGGGAGAGTCCGTGGTGAGCCAAGGACTCCCCCTGGTGTGCAGGGGCAGCTGCTGCTGGTGTTTTTCTCCCTGTAGTGCTTCACTGGATCGTAGCAAGTGGGCTTCAAACCACTGACCGGCAAGTGGCATTTTATTTTCACGTCACTGCTACCACAGAAGAAGAAGAAGAAGATTTTTGATTTTTAAAATAACACTTCATTAACAGGAGGTGTAAAAACTGTAACGCACGGAGAAGAAGAAGAAATCGTCTGTGGAGCAGCTAAAAAAAATCAATATTACACAATAAAGAATGAATAAAGAAAATATATGATACTTAAACAACCCACAAGGGGGCGAAGTCCACGGTATCTAATGGCCTTATTTGGAACATTTCTTAAATGCACTTTAATCTTTGTGATTGTACCACCTGAGGTCTTGCCTTTCTTACCACAGTATTATTTATATTTGTTAAATGTCTCCCCTCAGGTGTGATGTTGAACATCTTTGTTGTTCTGTTACTGCTACTGCTAATTATCTTGCTTCTATAAAATCGTCTTTTAAAAGATCAAATCAAACGAGTCGTGTGTTTTTGATGTGTGTTCTAAACATTTCTTCAGTAAACACTCAAATCTCAATCATTTAATAAGTCACATCACTTCAGCTGATTCTGTCCAGAGTGTGTGTGTGTGTGTGTGTGGGGGGGGGGGGGTCCAGAGGGGGGGTGGCTGTCATCAAATAGGAAATAAGGTCAGGTAGACTCAGGTGAAATGAAGAAACTAAGGCTGTTAATCTGTAATAATCAGACACAGACTCGACAACAGTTGAAACATTTGAATGTAATGTTCCTGTATAGTTTTAGCTCTAAGCCTGTTAGATGAAGACAGTCCTACATTAGTATGAGGGCCCTGTTTGTGTCTCCTCTCCTCACTTCATCTTCAGATACAACGTTTTGGACAAAAACACCGTATCAGTGGAAGAACTTGTTGTGAAACTGTTTAAATATTTTGCTCGTTTTTGCCTGGAACTCTTTATCTTCCGCAAACACAGTTGCGCCACAGGTCAGTCTTCCACCGAGGACTCGGCGTCTCAGCGTTGTCTTAATATGGTCTTTCCATCCCCACGGTCTTAATATGGGAGACTCGTCCAACCTGACGTCCAACCTCTTCTCCTGTCCTCAAAGAGCACGGAAAACGACACCATCTGCTGGTCACATGACATCACTACAGCTCACGATAACTAACCAATCACACGCTTGGCGCTGGAGTATAAATAAGACGTCATTTCCTCCCAGCGCCCTCTTTTTCACCGTGTGGTCAGATTTCCATACGGCGTTGTTTCGTGGTGAGTTTAAAGTTAACATTTTGCATTATTAAAGACTACACAGGTCGACCCTGAACGAGATGTAATGTTTTACTGACGGTTATTTAATCACATTTGATTTAAAAGACCGCCTATCGCCTTCTCAAAGTCTGTATTTGTCATAGAATAGAATCTGCTAACCTCTCAAGCTAACATGCTAACAACCGACACGCGCTCACCTCGCTGCTCTAGTGTCGACCAACGACTGTAGAAAAGGCCCAGTAGCAAATATTTGGAATTAGAATTAAACGTTTTTCTATCAACAATATTATAAAGTACTTACGTTCGGTTTGGGACGTATTTGAAATGTAACGGTTGGGTGAATTTGACGGAGAAAACACGGAAACGGTTGAGCACCGTGAAAAGTGAACACTGGGAGTTAATGTCTAAAATGGTGTTAATTCGAGTAGTTGTCCTTTAATGTCTACCACCACGATGACGGAGTATTTTTTTATTCTGATGGACTTTTATTGCTGTTTCTAGCTCTCCCATAACTCGTAACGCAGGGAAAGCGGTCACGATGTCCGGAGGTCTAGATGTCCTTCAAATGAAGGAGGAGGATGTGCTCAAGTTCCTGGCTGCAGGAACCCATCTGGGAGGCACCAACCTGGACTTCCAGATGGAGCACTACGTCTACAAAAGAAAAAGCGACGGTAAGTCTCTTCACCTTTGGTCTTTGGACTTTATTGTAGTCGGTTTAATCAAATCTGTTGTGAATCCTCAGGTGTGTACATCATCAACCTGAAGAAGACCTGGGAGAAGCTGCTGCTGGCAGCCAGGGCCATTGTTGCCATTGAGAATCCTGCTGATGTTTGTGTCATCTCCTCCAGGAACACTGGTCAGGTAAATGGAGGTCAGAGTGACCCTTGGTCAGTCAGCCACTCTCTGACACTGCATCATGTGTAACACGCACACGGTTAAAGCTGGGCACCGACGTCGGTGTTCTGGTGTCGGAAGTGTGCAAGATCAAACTGGCCGGGTTTTCGCTAACACCATGAGGACGGACGTCCCATGACTGGGGTTTGATAGTGACCTGAGCCACAATGGGCTGCTGATGCTGATGCTGATGCTGCTGCTGCTGATGCTCCACGCTGCTGCTGCTCCACTGATGTCCTGTAACTCTGTCCCTCTCAGAGAGCGGTGCTGAAGTTTGCTGCTGCCACCGGTGCCACCACCTTCCACGGTCGTTTCACCCCTGGTACGTTCACCAATCAGATCCAGGCAGCTTTCAGGGAGCCCCGCCTCCTGATTGTGACGGACCCTCGTGCTGACCATCAGCCACTGACTGAAGCTTCCTACGTCAACATCCCCACCATTGCCCTGTGCAACACCGACTCCCCGCTCAGATACGTTGACATTTCCATCCCGTGCAACAACAAGGTGAGGTTTAATCACACACACACACACACACACACGCACACTGTTAGAGCCCGACGCTGTCCTGTCTGTGCAGTGCAGGGTGTAGGATGTGTGCCAGAAAATATGCCTGACCTCTAACCTTTCCTTCTGATTGACAGAAGGTAATGGGTTAAGGACAGGCCACAGTGCCCCCCCCCCCCCCCCCACACACACACACACCTTAGTGTAGTTGATTAGTGTTGTGTTTATTTCAGCTGATGTAGGGAGTGTTTTTGTCCAAACCAACGTGTACCGTCTGCTGCAGGGTAACCACTCTGTGGGTCTGATGTGGTGGATGTTGGCCAGGGAGGTTCTCAGGATGAGGGGCACCATCTCCAGGGAGCACCCGTGGGAGGTGATGCCTGATCTGTACTTCTACAGAGACCCTGAGGAGGTGAGTTGGTGGAAGAACCCCGTGTCCGTCTGTCCTTGACTCGGTTCTGGTGTGTGACTCCATTCTGCTCCCTCCACAGATTGAGAAGGAGGAGCAGGCGGCAGCTGAGAAGGCAGTGGTGAAGGAGGAGTTCCAGGGTGAGTGGAGCGCCCCCACTGCTGAGTTCACTCAGCCAGAGGTGGCTGACTGGTCCGAGGGCGTCGCCGTTCCCTCTGTGCCCATCCAGCAGTTCCCTGCCCGTGAGTTTTAAACTCATCACTTCCTCCACTCTGTGGTCAGCTGTATGTGTTGCCCCCCCGCCCCCCCCTGACTAAAGTGTTTCTCCTCCCACAGCTGCTGCTGCTGCTGCCCCCGTCAAGACAGAGGTGTTCACAGGTGAGATCTGGTCTTTTCCTCTCAGTCTTCCTCCACAGTCCTCTTCCTCTGTGTTGACGTGTTTGTTTCTCTCCTCCCACAGAGGACTGGAGCACTCAGCCGGCCACGGACGACTGGTCCACTGCCCCAACTGCCCAGGCCTCAGACTGGGGCGGTGCAGCTTCTGACTGGTCTTAAATGATTCTCATTGTCAACAATAAAAGTGTTTTTTACACTTGACTCTGACGTTGAATTATTTTAAAATAACACGTTGTTAACCTAACAATTTTAAAGAGAACAAATGGATTTGAACCGTTTCATGTGCCAGTTTAAAAATAAGTTCTGTTGAGAACGTTCTGTGAACTGAACTGAACTGTTGGATGAGAGTCAAACATGTTTGAGAAGAATCCACCACCAGTTTCCTACCAGAACTCTTCAACGTTGACCTGGAGGATGGAGAATCTTCAGATGATAAAACCTACGTCTGGTCAGAGATTACAGAAGTTACACAAACACGTCATGTCTACGTCAGCCTGTAGTGTTAGCATGTAGCATGTAGCAGTGACAGGTGCTCTGAGCATGGAACTGTGCCCACACATGTTAATGCTGCCCCCTGCTGATGGAAATTAGAAGGAAACTTAACCTCAAACCATGGTGTCAGTAAATGAGTGGCGACGAAAGGCCAATAGATTCTAAAAGGCTGACATAGGGGGCGCCATCGAGTCCCTTTCACGTACTAAAAACCGGAGCGTTTGATAGTTTTTTGTCTGATTTTTGAACAAAGTTCATTGACTTATTTCGCAGGTTTCTGTATGAAGAAAATATATGCCCCCCCCTCCCCGAGTCCCCCCCCGCCCCCCCCCAGAGTAGGTTCCTAATTCAGTTGTATTTAACAACTTCAACAACATATTTGGGACAGACCGAGCACGAGCAGCGTGTCCCGCCCGTGTGGAACAATCCTCTCCTCCACGTTCGCGCTCGTGTGTCAGGTGGGCGTGTTCCAGCTCCCTGATTGGGCAGACGCCCTTCCCTTTCCTCCCACCGCGCTCCCT